TACAAACAATTTAAAATATTTTTATATTATAGCTTTTAACTCACAATACTTTATATAAATCATAATATGCTTTGAGAATATATAATTTTTATCTACAAAATGAATGTTAGTTTTTATCGCAATCTCAAATAAAATAAGATGCATTTAATATTTTTATTATTAGAATATGAGTGTTTTTATATCATTATAAAGTTTTTTTTTCTACATCTCTCTAAAAGAAAACATTAAGCAATATTGTAATCTTTACATTAACGTAAATATATCACATTGTTCGTCAATTAATATTAGATTTATTATATAAAATATCATTAGTTTAAAAAATATAGGGGTGAGCATGATGCGGTTTGGTGCGATTTTAAGGACAAACCGAACCGCAAACCGCAAGGTGTGGTTTTTGTATTCTTAAAACCGTTGGGTGCGGTTTTCCAATGGTTCGATTTTTCGGTTTCCAAATTTGGTTTCAGTTTGTACGGTGCGGTTTCGGTTTTAAACCGATTCTAAAATTTGGTGTGGTCTTTGATGTTTTTTGGAGTATTTTTTTTTTTAAAAAAAAAACACGATAACAATGTGCATGTAAGCTTGTGTGGTGCAATTTTTTTCACTTTTTGAAACCATTTATTTGTAAAGGTTTATTTTCAATACAAAATAAATTATATAAATCAAAAGTTGTAAGTGACTTAATATATACAATGGTTGACTAAGAAAAAAAAATTTGAATTTTGGTTTACTAGTTATAACCTTATAACATATGATTAATTAGTGAACTACTTTGTTGTGGTTTTAACTATAAAAATAAAAACAAAATAAAAAATAAGTTTGGAAAATGATTTGGAATCCCGATTAAATGGTTAAAATCAACTATCAAAGTCTAAAGTCCAAATATAATATGTATTAATATTTCTTAGTATTTTAAAAAAATATGTATATATTGTAAAATATAAATATAAATTAGTGATATTTTATAAATCTTTGGTGCGGTTCGGTTTTGATGGACTAGTTTCTTGGTAAAAACCGCACCGACCCGCAAACCTTCGGTTTTTGCAAAAATGAAATCCGCACCATTGGTTTTTGCATCGGTTTCGGTTTATTGGTTGCGGTTTGTTGTGGTTTTGTCGGTTTATTTTTAGTCGGTTCGGTTTTTGCTCACCCCTAAAAAAATAAATTAAATAATTTTTTTGTCATTGTCATTGAAAAAAAAATGTGTTTTTATAATTCAATTGTAACTTTTGTTTATATTATATTTAGAAAGATACAACTTTATATATTAAACAACTAAACTCTATACTCATGACTATTTTAAGTGTATAGTTATATTTTTTTTACGACACAAGAAATACACCTAGTATATATAAGATAATATTTAAGAGGAAAATCTTTAAAAATGGTCCCTATGATTTCCAAAAGAATTCGGTTTCGTCTTTATTTATTTTTTGTCTTCAAAGATGAACCCTGTGATTTAAAAACCTTTAGTTTTATCTCTAACTTTGTCATTTGTCTTTTGTTAAGTCTGAACATGTGCAAGACATGCGAGGGAAAACCCATCTTTTACATACCACATAGACCATTTATGAAATTTTGGGGGTAAAGACTATTCAAGATTTAAAAATTGATTATTTGTTATCTGGAATAAAAAAATACACAAACACCATATGGAAGTCCGAAATCCGCATATAGTCGGATAATCTCTTATACAAGATAGGTTATTAAGATTCACCCAGATCGAAAAATAAGAATTCATCAAAGCAACCACCAAAACACACTTCTTTTAGCCCATAATCTTGATAAAATCTAACATATCATCAAGATGTTGCAGCCATGGTTATTACTCAAAGCTCATAAACATATAACTACCCAAATACAATCACTTATACCAACTCGAAGGCAAATAAGCATGAGCATAATAACCAGTTTTCCAATGATTCAACACCACAACTTCCCTCACTGCCCAAAACGAAACAATCATCGCACTAACCATAGTTGCTCTCTATATCATTTAATCTTTTATCCTAACAATAACTTGCGTTATGAAAGGCAACAACAACCCTACAGTCATGAACACAAATCCAACATACAAACCTTTAACACCAAACTGCATCCTAACACCCTTAAAGAAGAAAATCAACTTATTCGGATCCTTTCTATCCATAATGTAACACTCCGAGTTCATAAGTGCAAGTTCAGGGTGCTTGGTGTAATTAAGAAGGATCGACTCGACGAGTCCATGGATAGACTCGGCGAGTCGAGTCGCAATTTTGGACGCGAGTTAAGTGATCAACTCGTCGAGTCGGTAGCTGGGACTCGACGAGTTGATGCTGAAGAGAGAAAGCCCTAATTCTGGGGGTTTTGCCGTATATAAGGAACATAACAACCCTTCTTCAGCCTCCTTACCACCCTTGAGAGCCTACAAACCCTAGAAATCGAGTGGAACTCCATTGATAGAGAAATTGGAGCTTTGGAAAGGAAATCTTGAAAAGGGAACTTGAAGACCAAGGGATTACAGCAAGGGAGTGGTATAGATCCGAGGTCTACTTCAGTGGGAGCTTTTATTTGAGGTAATAATCTGTTGCTTAAGATCCTTTGCATCTAGATCCTTTGTTGCTTGAGTTTTGTGGCATTTCTTGAGTTATTTCGGGTTTGGAGGTTGGATCAAAGATTTCTACCTTAGATCTGGACTTGAGATGGTCCAGAAGATCATAAAGTTTAAGTCCTTGGATGATTGGTGAAGCCCCTTTTGTCTAAAACCCAAGCCCTGGGGTGCTTTGAGTTTATATCTCCTTGATATCACGTAAAGTTTGCAACTTTACGTGAGGAATAGCTTGCAGAAGGGTAGATCTATGGACTAGAGCCCCTGTATGGCTCGGAAAGCCACTGTACGGATTAAGAACTAGAGGTACTCGGCGAGTTGGATGAAGATAGACAGGAACTCGACGAGTTGGAAGAACAACTCGGCGAGTCTGTTGAAGATTGCCTTGGACTCGGCGAGTCTGTTCTTGGACTCGGTGAGTATGGTCGCGGAGTCCTAACCTTTTTGGTTGAGCTGTGAATCGGTGAGTTGAGGGACGACTCGATGAGTTGAGTAGGAGGTGACTCAGAGTTCATGGGACTTGACGAGTCAGCGGGTTGACTCGGCGAGTAGAGTCAGTCAGGTAAGTTGACTTTGACTGAGGACTTTGACTTTGACCAAGAGTTGACCAGTTGACTTCCAGGGGTAATTTGGTAATTATTGGTATTTATTGAGTTCAGTCTTTTGGTATTATCAATGATGGAGTTCGTGTCGGAGGTTGGAACAGCGTGATCTTATCTTTTCAGTCAGCAGTTGCGAGGTGAATTATCCTCACTATATCGACAGTGTCTAAGGCACCAAGGCCGACCCTTTATCAGATTGTAATCCGGGTATTGTTGTTATGTTATTGCTTTGCTATGTTTGCATCATGGTAGTTAGGATGGTATATGTTAGAGACTTGGTTAAGGTCGGTATCCTGGTACATAGGATGATGCTATATTAGTGACCGGTTAGGTCGGTATCCTGTTTAGAGTATGTTATGTATGTGATCTGCTAGATCAGTTGATTGATGATTAATTGTTATGTGGCTATATGTTTATGTGCACATGGTGGGTTGACTAGGGTTGGGTTGAGGCGGGTCCTGCTTTGTGTTGTAGGCCAATATACCCAGTGCGGACAGGATATTCCGAAGGCCCAACGAGCGGTCCGAATAGGATGTAGGCCCCACGAGGGCGGACCAAACGTGCCGAGGCTCGGAGAGTGGACCAGGCCGACTGAAGGCCCGGTGCGGGCGGACCAGTCATACTGTAGACTCAGAGAGTGGACCAAGTGGATTGAAGGCTCGGTGCGGGCAGACCAATCACTTAGTTGTTGAACTTTGAAAATTTTCAATTTTGATATCCCAACTTTGAGGAATTGTAAGTCATTGAATATTAAACCAAAAACGACAAACTTATGTACAAACTCTAAACTACACGCTGAAAAAAAACCTCATGATAATTCAACTTCAAACGAACTATATATGTATGTTTTAAAATTTCATAAAATACAAAAATAAAGCTGAAAACCAAAAAATTTGCAGCTTTGATATCCCGACTTTGGGAGACTATAAATCAATGCATATGAAGCCAAAAATGACAAAATTAAAATTTAAAAACATGTACAGACTCTATACTACACTTTGTAAAAAACCGCATGCTATTCCAACTTCAAACGAATTAGATATGCATGTTTTAAACTATCAGTGAATACAAAAAAGTTGAAAACATAAAATTTCCAGCTTTGATATCCCGACTTTAAGAGATTGTAAGTCAATGAATATAAACCCAAAAATGATAAATTATAGTCTAAAATCATGTAAAAATTATAAACTACACTATGGAAAAAACCTGATGCCAATTTGACTTCAAACGAATGAGATATGCATGTTTTAAACTTTTCACAGAAATCGGTTCCGGCCCCTAAAACCGGTTTCGATACCTAACACGGTCCCACCCGATTTACCCGGACCCGAATGAACCGAAACCCGAATTACCCTGAACCCGAATAGAGCTATTCTTTAAAGCCAGGACCCAGACCGGTTTTACATGTTTCGGTTCTAATGGTTTCGATTCCGGTTCCGATCCGGTTTTCCGGTTCTAAATCTCATCCTACTTTGCGAATCAATATGAACATAAAACCTGAAACATTAAAGATGTAAACAAACATAATACCAAACATCCAAATCCTCTTATGATGAAAATGAGTCTCACTTCCTTATATCTTCTTGGTCATGAATGTCATCGAACCCCTCAATTAGAAACCCTAATTGTGATTTGGAAAACATTGAGGGCCCGTAGATTTGGCCGATTGATAATCCAATTTTGGATTCGAGAAAACCCGCCATTGATTCGGCTAAACTGGAGGACTCTGAGACGTCTAAGGGGATTGAATCAGATTTTAAATTGTCAGCATCAGGAGGAACGATGCGAATGTTAGGTAATGCATGTATACCAAATCAGAGGAAATCTTTTTCAGATTCACTGAATTCAAGATCACATAAGAAGATTTTGGAAAGACTTGAGGAGTTTTGGTTGTTGATGGAGAAGGATTTGGCAATTAGGGCATATTCAAATTTGATAGTTTTGAGATTTGGCTTTAGTTTATTGTGGAGTTGGATAGCATCGAAGAAGATGATCAAGTAGAAAGATCTAGGGCTGGCATTGAAGATTCTGTAGAGAATACTTTCGTTGAGGCGAATGATACCGGAAGGGAATTGTGATTGTAGGGAGTGGAGGTCGGCGACTATATTGGCGGCAACGACGGATGAGGAGTAAGGCGTACAGAGGAAGATATATGTGATTGTTAGTAGTAGGTTTAGAATCAAAAATGGTTTCGTAGAAATCACCATTTCCAGTTCAAGAGAGATTTCTTGGGTTTCGTTGTGAAGATCAAGAAAACACTAGATGACTTACATGGTTGCTGTGGTATGTATGTAAAAGGCAATTTTGCCAGTATGTATGTAAAAGACAATTTTGCCCCTCGTATGCTTGCATATGTTTAGACTTAACTAAAAAATAAAAAAAAAATGATGAAGTTAAGTTTTTAAACTACAGGGACCATCCTGGAATACAAAAAAAGATTAAGGTCCAAACTTGATTTTTATGGAAGCAGCAAGGATTATTTTTGACGATTTTCCTTTTTAAAACAAATAATATTGATCGGCGGCACCAGCGGCCAACGTCCAACTGTCCTCGTCAGAAGAACCTTACGACGTCGTATTTAGGTTTTCTGACTGAGCGGGTAAGTATAGTGTGTAACGCACACCGCGCAAAATCGTCGATCGTCTTCTACGCCAAATTAACAACACGAAACCCTACAATCTCCATTTTTGCGACCGTATATATCAAATACACATACTGAAGGAACCCAGAAGTATTTTATTCTTATGTGTGTGTATTTGTGTTTGCGAATCGAACCGATTTCTATAATAATCGGTAGATATGGAAGAGGATAGTGATTTGGAGCACGTTACGGGAAGTCCGACAGCTGGAGAGAGTGGATTTGTTCACGTAGAGTCGATTAATTCGGCTTCAATGGATGGTAGCGCAATTATTCAGGTAATTTTAGTCTTTACTAATTTAGACAATTTTATTTCAGCTGTTCACAACTGAATAGCAATCCCTCCTTTTATGTGCATTGTTCTCCCTCCTATCCAGAAACAAAAAAAAACAAGACAGGGATATTCTGGTTGAGATAGAAACCATTTTGACTTTTGATGTCCACTTGAACAGTTGTACTCAAATTCAGAAAATTTATCAGGATCATTTGACAAACTATGAAACTTCCCATAGGTTTACTAGTGAGAAACTCTTGATCTTGAATTTGTTAGACCATGCATGTCATTTAAAAAAGTATGAAATTTGACTTCAAAAGTCAATATTATATCTCTCTATGTTTGGGAATGGAGGAGTCCTTGGTATGGTTATGCAATTCAGTATTTATATCTTCTAATAATTATCGTGCAGCTTTAGGTGATCTATAAATTGTCATTAAGTTTGATAATTTCACACTATTGGTTTGTTGGCAAGTTATTTTACTAGTTTAAATGATGTATAATTGACTCAGTACCTTGAACTTATTATCAAACTACAATTTAATCTTCTTGTGCAGGATGATGGGGTAGTGGTAACAAGAGTAGACACTGTACAAGATGAGTCAAGTGATTTAAGAATGACTGATGATGGGGGCAATGAAGAGTTTGTAGATTGTCCAGATGACTTACTTTCCTATGATGGAAGGACTGATTTTGATGAAAGTCAGGAAGCAGAAGAAGTAGTTTCTGAAGATCATCAACATAGTTTATTTGACAGTGAACATGAAATCTTGCCACACCATTATCAGGTTGTAATGTGACTAATGTCTACTACCTTTTACTCTGTAGAAGTCTTTTTGACTTGCATTGACTGACTAAGCTTTTCTTGCAGGAAGAAAGACAGCAGCTGATGACAGAGTTGACTAATCTCCGCCATAAGCTGAAGATCCTTATCAAGAAACATCCATTGATTGATGGAAAAGATGGTGCTCTGTTTACTTATGAACTTGCAGCAGCAACAGTAGCTGGTGATGACAAGTCTTTGTGGCCTCTGCATGAGATGATCTTTGACTGCTCTAGGTTTATTGAGCTTGCTTTAGGTGAACAATCACAGACTGAGCACACAGTCAAAGAACTCTATTCCACTATAGATACAAAAGATAAAGAAATCAATGATCTTAATGTAAAGATCTTTGAATACTCCTCTGTTGAGACCACAACAGATAGAATTTTATCTTCACTTGCACATGCCCTTGGTGTGGAAGAATCCGTGCAAACATCTGTTAGTGGTAAAATGTTACATCTTGAAAAAGGTATCTCCTTTTTAGTTGAAAACCACAATCACTTCCTTTCAGAAATTGCGATGCTTAACCAGTGTTTGACAGAGATGAAAAGGAAAGAACTTGAGTTGACCCATAAAAGTAGTCATATAGAAGATGAATACAGGAAACTGATGGAACATTTTGAGAGAGGTAGAGAAACCATTAAGATGTTGAATTCAGAGATTGGAAGGCTGAAAGGGGAAGTTGAAGTAGAGAAGACAAGGTATAGTAATACAAGAGAAAAGCTTAACTTGGCTGTGACCAAAGGGAAGTCTTTGGTTCAACAACGTGACTCATTGAAGCAAGCAGTTGTAGAAAAGACAAGTGAATTAGAGAAATGTTTACTTGAATTGCAAGAGAAGTCAAGTGCCCTGGAGGCTGCTGAGTTAAGAGAAAAGGAGATGCTACAGTTTGAAACTTTAGCTAATTCACTGAAAGACCAATCTTTTAAGCTACAAGATGAAATTAACACAATGAAAGAGGCTGAAAGTGTGAAGATTGATCGCCTAACAGTATCACTGTTGATAGAAGCTCTGGAGAAGAAGTATCTTGAAGATGAGGTTGCAGATATGACACACAAGTTTGAAGATTTTCTCAAGAAAGAGAATATGGATAGGTTGGAGCTGGATAAGTGCTTGAGTAAGATAGCTGAGGTTTCTGAAGAACTTCGTGTGTTAAAAGATACGAATGGATTTCTGAAAATTGATCTTCAAAGATCCGAGGATAAAGTTGGTTTATTGAAGGAAAAGTTATCAATGGCAGTTAAGAAGGGTAAAGGTTTGGTTCAAGAGCGTGAGATAATGAAGCAGCAAATAGCTGAAAAGAATGCTCATATTGAGGCATTAAGCCTTGAATTGAAACATCAAGAAGATCATATTAGTAAGTTGTCAAGTGATGTGGAACGGATAATAAAGCTGGAATCTGATCTCCTACATTCAAAAGAAGAAAGGGATCAAATTGAGCAATTCTTAGTTGAGAGCAATACCATATTACAACAGGTAATTGATGCAACTAATGAGATTATTCTTCCAAATGATATAAATGATCCAGTTGAAAAGGTGAAGTTGTGTGCAGCATATTTAAATGAATCCCAAGTTTCAAAGGCACAAGTAGAACAGGAATTGAGAGATGTAAAAGACGAAGCCCTGAAAACCACAAAATCCCTTGAAGATGCATTATCTATTTCAGAAAAAAACATGTCTCAGTTAAATGAAGAAAAGATAAAATTGGAAAATCTAAAAACTTGTATTGAAGAGGAATTACACAATGCAAAGGAGGAATCCTGCAGAACTATAAAGTCACTTGAGGATACAGTGTCTCAGTTACAGACACATATGTCTCAATTTTCTCATGAAAATGAGACGACACAAAATAACATAAATTTATTAGAAAGTGAAATAAAGAAGCTGAAAGATGAAGCTGCATATCATGAGCATAAGTTCATGGATGCCTCTGAAACTATCAAAACATTAGAAGACACATTGCTGAAGGCCAACAACTCTGTTTCCAATCTTCTTGAAGAAAAGAAGAATGCTGAACAAGAAATTTCAACCCTCAGGGAAGAGTTGACATGCAAGACAGATGATTGGCCTTCTGAGCTCTCGAGCTTTCTTGAAAATCTTCAAATGCTTTTGAAAGATGAAACTTTGTTGATCTTGTTCAAGCAAAGTAATGAGAAAAAGTTTGAAACCTTTATAAAAATGGACCATTATCTTAAAGATATGAAGGGTTATTTAGATTCAGAAGAGCTTCAAGATTATCCTGACATTGAGGTAACAAATTATATCCTCACAATATAAATATGGTTTTTGTTCAGCTCTTTATGACACTTGTTTTTTTTCAGGAAAGATTCCAGTTATCAACTCTTTTCAACAATGTTCTCAACACTGATACAACTAACAGCAATGAAGCAGATGCTGAGAATATCAAATCATATGCAGGAAAAACTTTGGAAAAGTTAAATTTAAGAAACCAGATTCTCACTGATGAATTTATCCGGTTCTCTACATTCATTGATGAGCTAACTACATCCTTGTTAACAAAACTGGAGACAATAAAGAACATTATGCCAATTACACTTGAACACACAAAAACTTTGCAAAAAAATGTTGATGATTTGCAGATTGATAAACAAGTACAGGAGAAAAAAATGTTATTAATCTCCACCGAAATACAAGAATTGCAGGCTGAATTAGAGAAAACCAGGTCAATATATGACAAAGTCAAAGAAGAAAATGACATGCTACAACACAGAGTTTCTAAGATGGAAACCGAGCTTGAAGCATCTCAAACCATGAGGGGCGAAATGGGCATTAAATTACAAGATTTCCAGGCAAAAGAAGATGAGTGGAATAGAAGAGAAGCAGAGTTATCTAAGCAACTAACTGAATTTGCCAAAGATCATGGTACAGTTTAATGAATACATGTATTTTAGATATGTTTACATTTAATATAAACATCTTAACAATATTCAGCTGTTTTTCAGAGGCTGAAAATAAAAAAGGTCTGACTGAAGCATCTCCATTAGCTCCACAGTCAGAGATATCAGAAGTTGAAGATCCGGTATGTATTTTCGCATTTTATTAGCATCATTTATTTATTTATTTAAAGTGATTTTTTATTCAGGTATCAATTGGAAAACGGAGCATGTCTATGGTGAGAAGTTCACGTAGGGGATCAAATGACCATCTTGCCCTCAACATCGATCAAGAATCTGACCATTTAATTGATAAACAAGAAACTGTTCAAGACAAAGGTATGATCCTAAAAAAATTCTGTTATTCATTTACGTTAAAATGTTGAAATTTGTTTCAAACTTTGGTGTTTTTAGGTCATATATTCAAGTCGTTGCATACATCTGGTCTTGTGCCAACACAAGGGAAGATGAAGATGATTGCAGATAGGCTTGATGGAATGTGGTAAATAAATTACTTTTAACTAACTTAGTAAAAAAAAATATGGAGTTAATTTGTAATGGGTTAGTTTTTGACTTTT